TCAGTTTGTTTTGCTCTTGCGTTAATTTTGCGCATACATTTATTTCTATTATGAAAATGATCTTTATATCCAGGAAACTGTCATATTAAGGAAATGGTCCACAAACGGAATCAAAACAGGCGCTGTACGTCAGCTTTATTCATCCACTCAGTGAACCGCTGACTCGCCATCAGACTCGGTCACTGTCATCGCTGAGTTTAATGCTCCAGATTAAGCCTAAACCTGGACTAATCTCCTCTGACACTGTAGTCTAAATCTAGGCTTAATCCAGGTACTAAACTGGAACTGATCAGTGCTCACACTGAAATAAACAAGTACGATTAAAGGGGAAGTCCACCGATTTTTTTAAAATTGTAATAATCCCGTCGTTTAGATGTAAACAGCCATTCAGATTGGTTTGGTTGATTGTAGAGACTCAGATTTCTTTACAGTGCTGGTGATAGGAACCAGGGGTCGCCATGACAACAACACAACTATAGCTATTTTATTTACTATCAGTGAACCCACACGTGTCTTCTGAGATTATATATGTAATGTTGACGATGGTAAAATAGTCATAAATCTGAAAATAATACGTTTTCTTTGGGGACTATTTTGCCTTACAACACCCTGAATGTACCCCTCCGCCACGAATGGAATAGAATAAACGGATTAAAATACATGTTTAGCCAAAACTTTATCATAAAGCAATGTGTCAGTCACCAGGCAGTGTATTCATAACCATTTTATGTAATAACTTTGTTACACTATATTTGGATGGTCCACTGTAGATGCTTTATAGATGCTCAGTCTGTCTTTATCTAACGTTCAACTAAACATCTATTAAGTGCTGAACTTGAAGTTGTGTGAAAGATTCTATTAAACCTGTTCCTAAACCTAATCCTAACCTTAATGTTGTTGATAATCAACTATCAATAGAAGGTTTGTTGATAATTTAAGTATCTGTAGATCATCTATAGCGGACCATCTAAATACAGTGTCACCAATAACTTTCTGTGAGGGAGCTTTTAGAGGTGGACGTCTGGTTCCTATCACCACCACTGTGAACGATTCTGACTGTAAGTTTCTCTTTAATAGAGCGTTTCGCATCAAACCACTCTGACTTTGTTTACATCTTAATCATTTAATTATGCAGAATTTTTGTTCCCCTTTAAGTAGCCTATAATACAAACAACAACAACAACAACAACAACAGCATCAGCTGCTAAACTGGCTGCGCTTCCCGAAAGCGTCGCTGAACAACCACCAATGATAGAGAGACTACCGTTCTGAACACTCTCTCTCCACGGTCACCGCTGTGGTCGGTCAGCGACGCTTTCGGGAAGCGCCGTGCTGATACAGTCTGACCCCGGCTTCTCCGGGCTGAGCTGTTTACCCGCTCCACACATAAAAAACGATGCTTTTCATTGCTGTGACGTCATCGGTTCTTAAAAAGCTCGCGGTAACGATGGCGGCGTTCTTGATCCTCAGTCCTGCCTCAGTGTCCTGAGCGCGCGACTCATCTGTTATTAGCCTTGGTTTATGGGCTTTGATGATGTATTTACATGGAACTGTAAGGTGGGGTGGGGGGTGGGGGTGAGGGGGGGATTCTCTTTAAGCAAACGGAAAAATAAATAACAACTCTCCTCAAAAAAGCCTCGAGGCGCTAGCAGAACCCTTTCTTGGTGCTTTATGGAAACCTTTTTAAAGTTTCTTTATGTTCTCCATCACTGAGAAGAACCATTTAATCACACAAAGAACCGTTTATGTGTTCCAACGGTTCTCTATATGCTAAAGGCCTTAGAGAACCAGATTTTAAAGGGTATATTTCAGCATAGAAATGGACACACTGTATTATAATAATAATAATAATAATAATAATAAACAACTTTGACTTTGCTAAAGAACCTTTGAAGAACAATTTTAAGGATGTATTTCAGCATAAAAAATGTAGATACTGTTGATGATGATGGTGATAATAAATAAAAAAAAAATAATAAAAGAAAATAAATAATACGTTTTAGAGAATAACCCTTAAATAACATTTTTAAGGGTGTATCTCAGCATATAAGCGTAGATAACAGCAACAACAGTAATAATAATAATAATAATAATAATAACGGAGTATATCATCTTAAATTAAGCCATGTAAAATGTCTAAAGCGCTTCTTTCAACTCATTTATTTATTTTCTTTATTAAAGCAAAAACAGCTGATTTGAAACAAACAAACAATATTTTGTTTATCTTTTTTGATCTGAACGAGCTTCGTCTTCACTATAATCCAAACGGTACATACTGTGTTCTCTGAAACAGAAATGTCTCATAAAATATAATAATAATAATAATAATAATAATAATAATAATAATAATAATAATATGTTACTGATGTTGCGAATGACCAGGACTTCATCTAATAATCTCACACTGAATAGACCTGTCCAGTCCAGCTCAGTGGAGTTTAATGGTCAGCCCTCAGCAAAAAACGACCTGTTACAGACCGATACCTGCACTGTGCTCCGCTGACAGAGCGCTCTGAGTTTACTGGACGGAAATGTGTTATAGAACTACACTCTGGAAAAGATGGTTCTTAAGGGGTTCTTTAGTAAAAGGGACGGTTCTATTTAGAACCATCAGTTCTGTATAGAACCATTCCGTGCTTAAATGTTTCTTTGCATGTCGAAATGATTCTTTAGATTGATGCATAATGTGTTGTACATGGTTCTATGTAAAAAATGGTTCTATATAGCACCAAAAAGGGTTCTTCTGTTGTTACAAGAGAAACGTTTCTACTCCATCGAGCTCCATCTGAAAGATGTCTTGTGAAGTCAATACTGTATCTGCACAACGTGGCAGAATGAAAGTATAAACTTTGTATGTAATAACAAATATATCTATATTGTGTGCGTAAGTTTGAACACCCCTGGACAAATGACGTGTTTCGTTGATTTTCTAAGTGTTAATAAGTTAACACACCCTCTACAGAGGACACACTCCTACACATTTCAATGCACACTGACTGTGTATGTGCTGAATGGAACATACTGGGGGAAAAACACAAAATGTGGCCTGTGCAAAACATTCATACTGTATGTTTTATTTTTTCCTATACGTTAAACAAATAAATAGAAACTGTGCAGTAAGATTTGCAGAAAGGTGCCATATTTAACTTCTCTGTAGAGATGAACTTATTTGCACTCAAAATCAATAAAACGTCATCTGATCAGAGCTGTTCAAACTTTTGTAACTACACAGAGTTTCAGCAGTTTACTTCTGAGTTCTGTTTCATTTCTGCTTATTATACTAAATGTAGCTGTTGGTCATGAATTAGGGTTAATTAGGAAACACATAAAGCCACAATGCTGAAGTTAATAGGAGGCTTATTTTTGTTTATTGTTGGTTTTGCAGTAAATATACTGTAAACTAAGGGGGGAAAGCAGCAGATCAGTGGAGGATCTGACTGAGAACTTAAAGACTTAAAGAAGCTCGTGCTCGTAAATAGAATGAAGTGAAATGGAAGTGACAGCACGTGAGTTGTGGGTGTATTTTTTATATACATATACATATATATATATATATATAGGTATATTGGGTTATATATATATGTACACTGTAAAAAGGGGCTCGTCAGGTCTAAAAGTGACTTCATGGGGTAACAAGTAAATGAACTAGATTGAAAGAATCGTTCATTCAAAGTATCTATTTAGGTTGAATAAAACAAGTTCAGTTGCTTGTTACCACACACAGTATTTTTTTAAGTATATCTGACGAGCCACTTTTTACAGTGTACCAATTACATATTAATATATACATACTAACATATAAACTACAATTTTCAACTTTCATAATTTGTTATATATATATATATATATATATATATATCAATCAAAAAGTGTTATTTTAACACTTTGTGTAATATTATTTTCTGTTTTTATCACATTCTGTGTTATCCATAACTGAGTATATTTCAACACATTTTGTGTTAAGTGTAATTTGAATTATCCAGTTGAATAAACTGATGTGTCTAGTTAGTGACAGAATGTGTTAGTATGCACATAACAGTGTATATAACAGTGTGTATTAACATATACAATAACTACAACTACTTTTATTGTATTGTAACATATACAACAACTACTTTCTTTTGGATTTCTATTTATGGATATTTGGATATATATATTTGGATATATATATATATATATATATATATATATATATATATATATATGGTTCTTGTCTTTTGGATGGACTTTTCTGTGTCCCACTTTAGCTGAAACAACCAGCCGGTCAGTTGAACTGGAGTCCATCTCATGAAGACCAGAAACGAGCTTCAGAATAAAGCCATCAAATAATAATCTACAGCCTGAGCTCTGCAGCGCCAGGGCAGCAGTTTGTGCGACTGTGGGAGATTAATGGTCATTTATTCTGTCCTCTTTCTGAGGTCAACTGGTCAGAAGACAGAAAGATGATGGAGAGGAAAAATCTCCCAGCAGCTCTGAGGAGCAGAGGCGGCGGGACACAGCTGGATCTGATATGGTTAAACGGTGGTCCAGCAGATCTGACTTAAGACTTTAAGATGCGCGAGAGCTGGAGAGCTTGTGGGTTCAGATGAAACAAACAGCACGTGACGCGTTTTTCTTTTGTTTGGTTGGTTGTTTTATGGATGGATTGTATCAAAATTTGGTAAAACGCACGATGAACCATCGTTCAGCTCGTGCGCGCTACTGTACGGCGTGCGCGAGAATGAAATTCCCAAATATAAACGAATTAACTACTATTTTTTTTTATTCGATTTTGTTTTTTTCCTCTTTTGTAAAAATGTAATTTATTTATTTATTGTAAACAAATAATAACAAGAGGCTAATTAAACTGAACTCTAATCAGCTGTTTTTTCAGGTTCACATTAAAGCAATAAAAGCTGATAGTGAAGCGATATAAAGTGGTATGAACGCGTAATTCGAATTTCTCTTACTATTTGAATTATTCTATGAATTATTAATGTGCATTAATGTTCCTCACTCACCCGGATGTGGCTGGCCCGCATGCCCCAGGCCTCCTCCGTGAGGCAGGAATGCTCGAGCGGGCGGCGCGCTCTGGTAGCCGTAGTGGCCCGCGCTGGAGCCCGCGGGCTCGTGCAGCGCGTGCGCGGGGTAGTGCGAGTAGGGCTGCGCGCGAGCCGGGTATCCGTGACCGTGACTGAACTCCAGGAAGGCGGATTTGGCGGGGTCAGAGGTCACCAGACTGTCGGCCAGAGAAGCCATGGTCATCCTCCAGCGCGAGGTCCATCAGCGCGAGCCGAGAAGGACGCGGCCAGGAGAAGGAAAAAGCATTTCCGGTTTAGAGAAGAAGAAAAAAAGTTTAATCTTTTATCATAATATTAAAAGAACCATAAATTCCCGCGGACGCCGCGCGCTCTCAGGACGAGCTCGCACTCTCTCTGAGCGCGCGCGAGTGCTTCTGAACTCTCTTCAGCGCGCACACTGTCCGGGCACTGGCCGGCCCCGAGCGCGCGCACGCGCACTGAGTCGCATTCACGCCCACGCAGTTTGAGCGAGAACAAAGAAAAGTAGAGCAACAAAAAACAAGGAACCCTCACGTGCACAAGCAGAAATCTATCTATCTATCTATCTATCTATCTATCTATCTATCTATCTTTTTGTCTGTCTGATGTTTTTTTTGTATGTTTATTCAGAATTTTTTTTTTTTGACGTAGAGGATCTTTAATGAATATTTAATCATATTTTTAAACTTTAAAATAGTTTTAAAATTGTTCTTCTCACTTTAAAGAACCATGTACTGAAAAGTTCTTTAGGAAACCAAACGTAGTTCTTCTATAGCCTCGCTTCAAAGGACTTTATTAATTCAATTGTTTATTTATTTGTTTATTTATTTGGGTATTATTTTGACATTCATTTATTTATACATTTAGTTAGTTATTTATTTAACTAATTAAAAATACAAACAGCCACTACATTTGTCATCTACACAACTTCAAAAAACATGTAGCGTTAATAAAAGTATTCTTTTGTTTACTGAGAGAGAGAGAAAGAGAGAGAGAGAGAGAGAGGGTCTAAGCAATAAAGTGCTACATCTAGTCCGTTTTAAAGAAGCTTACTTCAAAAATGCACCCATAATAATAATAATAATAATAATAATAATAAGAATAACAATAATAATAATAATAATAATAATAAGAATAACAATAATAATAATAATAATAATAATAACAATTATCATTATTATTATTATTATTATTATTATATATAGACCTCAGTAGTACGTTTCGTTTATAGAAATGATTCATTAACCATTAATATGAATCAGTGAATCTGTTCGTTCGCGGTTTCTTCATAGGATTTTTTAAAACATTTTTTTGTTTTGTTACAAAAATATAAAAAATATAATGAAGTCATTATGAAAAACTAACACTAATATCAGCTAATACTGTAGCCGCTAGATAGATCATTATAATTTGATATTAAGTACATTAATTATATAAAAACTCATCTATTTCGTAACCTCAAATGAATGTATGAAATAATCTATAATCTCCCATTTAAAAGGCATCTGCAGCTTCTCTGTGGAGTGACTGTGGGAGTTTAATAGCCATTCACTCCAATAATGTCCTCTTTCTGTGGTCAGCTGGTCCGTGTAAAACCTCCTGATGTAGGAAACATTACCGACCCAGGAGCTTTGAGCTTTACAGGAATCTATGCTTTTTCAGCTGGATAAACAGAAGATCTGACTGAAGAGTGATCATGCTCAAGAGTGATCATGCTGAAGAGTGATCATGCTGAAGAGTGATCTTAACTTACTGAAGAGTGATCATACTGAAGAGTGATCATGCTGATGAGTGATCTTATCTAACTGAAGTGGTCGTGCTGAAGTGTGCTCTTACTGAAGAGTGATCATGCTGAAGAGTGATCTTACTGAAGAGTGATCATACTGAAGAATGATCATGCTGACGAGTGATCTTATCTTAATGAAGAGTGATCATGCTGAAGAGTGATCTTACTGAAGAGTGATCATGCTGAAGAGTGATCTTACTGAAGAGTGATCATGCTGAAGAGTGATCATATTGATAAGTGATCTCTGTGAAGAGTGATCATACAAAAGAATAATCTTAGTGATGTGTGATCTTACTGAAGAGTGATCATGCTGAAGAGTGATCATACTGAAGAGTGATCTTACTGAAGAGTCATCATACTGAAGAGTGATCATATTGATAGGTGATCTCTGTGAAGAGTGATCATACTAAAGAATGATCTTAGTGAAGTGTGATCTTACTGAAGAGTGATCATGCTGAAGAGTGATCATGCTAAAGAGTGATCTTACTGAAGAGTCATCATACTGAAGAGTGATCATGCTGAAGGGTGATCTTAGTGAAGACTGATCTTAGTGAAGAGTGATCATACTGAAGTCATCATGCTGAAGAGTGATCTTACTGAAGGGTGATCTTGCTGAAGAGTGATCATACTGAACAATGATCAAACTGAAGAGTGATCTCATTTAAAAGTGATCTCACTGAAGAGTGAGCACACTGAAGAGTAAACATAATGAAGAATGATCAAACTGAAGAGTGATCTCACTGAATAGCAATTATACTGACAAGGGATCACAGAGTGATCATAATGAATGCTGGTAAGTGATCTTATCTAACTGAAGTGATCATGCTGAAGAATGATCTCACTTAAAAGTGATCTCACTGAAGAGTGATCTCACTGAACAGTAAAATCACTGAAGAGTAATCTCACTGAAGAGTGATCATAATGAAGAGTGATCTCATTGAAGAGTGATCATTCTGAAGAGTGATCGTACTGAAAAGTAAACATTGTTTATAATGTTATAGATTACTGTAACAGCTATAGATCATTACATGAACATCACACAGAGAACACACACTATAGATCATTACAGGAACATCACACAGACAACACACACTATAGATCATTACAGGAACATCACACAGAGAACACACACTATAGATCATTACAGGAGCATCACACAGATAACACACACTATAGATCATTACAGGAACATCACACAAAGAACACACACTATAGATCATTACAGGAGCATCACACAAAGAACACACACTATAGATCATTACAGGAACATCACACAGAGAACACACACTATAGATCATTACAGGGAGTGTGTTCTCTGTGTGATGTTCCTGTAATGATCTATAGTGTGTGTTCTTTGTGTGATGCTCCTGTAATGATCTATAGTGTGTGTTCTTTGTGTGATGTTCCTGTAATGATCTATAGTGTGTGTTCTCTGTGTGAATTTTTTTATATTTATTTATTTATTTATTTTTGCAGTTATGATGTATTATTAGTTGTTACTTATTCCTTCTTCTTCTTCTTTTTATTGTAATTATTGTTTTATATGTATATATATATATATATATATATATATATATATATATACATATATATATATATATATAAATATATACATACACACACACATATATGCATATATATATATATATATATATATATATAGAGAGAGAGAGAGAGAGAGAGAGAGAGAGGTCAGTGGTGATTCCTGTTTGATATTGTTTTGTATGCTTAAGTGCTTCAAAGGTTCTTGGTACAGTTCTAGGGAAAGAAAAACTTTAAGTAGTGTAGAACCTTAACATTATGTGGGGGTGCTTAAAACTGTAAACTGGTCACTCACTGCTGCTTTGAATTGACCTGTTTCAGATGTTCACATCAGCTTCACATGAACCAAACACACCACAGTTCAGCAACAGGGAGCCGAATGAGTGACAGTAATCGTGTTGATGTAATATATTTCATTAATGTGGAACCGACGTACACATTTCAGTCGAATACCATAAAAGCAACAGTGTAGAGAACCAGCAGTGGCTCTTCTATGGCATCAATCCAGAGAAGGCTTTCAGGAGGCTGGGTGTGTAAGAATGCAGTGAGGCCTGCGAGCGGGAAACTGAGGCTGTTTCTGAAGAAAAGGAGAAGTTAAAGACCTGCAGCATTCCTGAGAGACACACCAACACACACGCCCACACCAGCTCTCACACACACCAACACACTCCCACACCAGCTCTCACACACAACAACACACACCAGCTCTCACACACACCAACACACACCAACACACACCCACACCAGCTCTCACACACACCAACACACACCCACACCAGCTCTCACACACAACAACCCACACCAGCTCTCACACACACCAACACACACCCACACCAGCTCTCGCACACACCAACACACACCCACACCAGCTCTCACACACACCAACACACACCAGCTCTCACACACACCAACACACACCAACACACACCCACACCAGCTCTCACACACAACCCACACCAGCTCTCACACACACCAACACACACCAACACACACCCACACCAGCTCTCACACACACCAACACACACCCACACCAGCTCTCACACACACCAACACACTCCCACACCAGCTCTCACACACACCAACACACACCCACACCAGCTCTCACACACACCAACACACACCCACACCAGCTCTCACACACACCAACACACACGCACACCAGCTCTCACACACACCAACACACACCCACACCAGCTCTCACACACACCAACACACACCCACACCAGCTCTCACACACACCAACACACACGCACACCAGCTCTCGCACACACCAACACACACGCACACCAGCTCTCACACACACCAACACACACCCACACCAGCTCTCACACACACCTTCACTGATCAACACTGTGGGAATCTCTCACTTCACACTCACACTTACATTTACATTTACAGATAATGAATGAAAACAGAAATGTTATTTTGTTAATTCATTTATATACATATCTGTTTATTATTTAACATAAAAAACATAAATATACCAACTATATAAGCTTTTGTTATCTGTAATGCAGCTTTAAAATATTTAAGGTTCACAAAAGACTACCTATAGAGAGAGAGAGGGAGAGAGAGAGAGAGAGAGAGAAAGAGAGAGAGAACTCAGTATATAAGCTTTTGGGATTTGTTAATGCAACTTTGAAAAAATGTAAGAGAAAGAGAGAGAGAGAGAGAGAGAGAGAGAGAGTTAAACAAAAATAGAGCATATAGAGAGACGAGAGAGTGGAAAACAGAGGGAGGGAAGAGAGAGAGGCGAATGAGAACGAGAGAGAGAGAGAATGAAAAAAGTAAAAAATGGAAGAAATATTATATTTTATTTTCTATTAATTTAACTTCAAAAACACATAAACCTTGTAAAAGTATGTTTTAGAGAGAGACAGAGTTAAAGAAAAAATATAACAGAGAGATGACGATAGAGGATGAGAGAGAGGCAAATAAAGAGAGAAAGAAAGAGATTGAATAAAGAGAGAGAGACAAAAGGAGAGAGAATAGAGAGAGAAAAAACAGAGGGAGGGAAAGAGAAAATAGAGAGAGAGTGAGAG